AGTTGTTAAAAAGTGAGTTTTTACAATGTGGTTTCCATCTCTTTGTTTGTTTTGAAAAACATTAACTAAACTGTGATGTCTTCGGTTGTTTTGTTGTGCTTGCTGCTTATACATCATTATTTGTACTTTCCGTAATAAGTGGGTAGCTTCACTTGCACTACATGTTTAGTATTTTTTAACATAATCTTTTAAATTCAAATGTAAGGTAAACATAATCTAAAATAATGTTTAATCAATTTAATCAAGTGACAGTGGCATGATATGTCAATGTCAACCTTATGTCACCTCAGCTTCACGTTCCGTACTTCTTCTTTTTCTTTTTTTATGGCATGCATTACGTTCCGACTAACGTACGCTATTAGTTTTCAGCCATTTAAGGTAGGCTGAGGTATTAATGTTATACTGCCATGTTACTATTTATTTTTTCTGTGTATTTTCATATTAAGTGTGTTATGGTTAAGTCCTAGTATTTATACGTAGTGAAGTGTGTAAAACTCTGTTTCAACCGATTGTCTCATTAGTTTCATAAGGAATATCATGTTTTTTGTGTATATTCGAACCAGTAGAAAAATACGTTTTTTTTGAGTGTATGTTTCAAGGTTTATCTCTCTCTTCCTGTCTTTGTTATATTTTGTTACACTACTGTAAACCTTCAATCGGCGGGAAATGCAGGTCTCAAAATAGCAGTTTTATTCAAGCAATTTATTGCTCCATTCTATTTTATTTATTCTTATAAATTTATATTTATTATATTTCTTATTTTATATTTATATTTTATTATATGAACATATGTCGGATATTAGTGAATACTGTTCAGCAGAGGATGGTAACTCGTCTTTTTGCTCACTCAGCGACGACTGTTCGTTTGATAATGTGGTTGATTTGGGCTCTCTCGTTTCGAAAGAATTCAGTGCCACTGCCACTGAAACTTTGAACGTTTGCCACATTAATGCTCAGAGTATTCCTTGCCACTATACAGAACTACTGAACACATTCACGCCTAGTTCTGTAATCCATGCTATTCTGGTTTCGGAAAGTTGGCTGAAGCCCTGTTTGAGCTCAGATTCTGTTGACCTACCAGGTTACACGCTTATCCGAAATGATAGAATAGGTAAGGGTGGAGGGGGAGTCGCCATTTATTTATCTCAGGCTATCCCTTATAAGATCTTAACATCCTCTTCTTCCCGTTACGATTGTATGGAATATTTATTTCTAGAAATTGACGTCAAATATACAAAAGTATTGCTTGGTGTTATTTACAGCCCCCCTTCGGTCCCTTTCTTAACAGATCTTGAAATTCTTATCGATAACTTTTCCTCAGATTACAAACATCACATAATCATGGGCGACTTTAACACGGATCTTTTAAAAGATTCTCTTTCCTCACGAGGTTTCTGATCAATATTCGAGTCTCTGAATTTCTCTATTTTACCGCTTGGTCCTACTCATCATAACATCATCACTCATGACTCGTGGATTGACCATATTGTTACATCCTCCCCAGACCATGTCTTGAAACATGGTCAGTTGTCGGCACCGGGGTTTTCGAAACACGACCTGATTTTCTTAGCATTCAAATTGAAACCCCCTAAAGCTAAGCCGGCTATAGTACGCATTAGAAACTTCGCGAGGCTTAACATAGAGAAGCTTGTAATGGAAGCAAAGGCCACCGATTGGTCGCCTGTATATGGTGCGTCCTCAGTGAATGATATGGTCACCGCCTTCAATGCTGCGGTTATTGAATTATTTGATCACCATGCACCAATTAAAGCGGTCAAGCTGAGGCGACCACCTGCTCCCTGGATAACTCCTTTGGTGCGCATTGCCATGCGTAGAAGAGACAAGGCCTTTCGTATTTTTAAAAGATGCCGCACTGATATCAATTGGATGGCCTTCAAGAGTGCAAGAAACCGCTGCAATCAGATGATAAGAGGTGCTAAAAGACGTTATATACATCAGAACGTTATGGACTCATCTCCAGCCGAAATGTGGAAGTTTCTTAACTCAATTGGTATTGGCAAAACTCGATCCCAATTCTGTGTTCCTTTTTCTTCAAACGAATTCAACCGTCATTTTTCTTTTGTACACAAACTTCCTGACACCGTCAAATTTCTCACCATTTCCAAACTTTCTTCCACGGCTACTCCTCCAAAAGACATTTTCTCCTTTAGCCCACTCACAGAGGATGATATTAGAAAGTTAGCAGTTTCTATCAAGTCCAAGGCTGTAGGATTTGATAATATCAACAGAAACATGCTTATCTTATTACTGGACCCTCTACTTCCTATATTGACCTTTATCATGAACAAATCTCTATCTTCTGGCTCATTTCCTAGTGTGTGGCGAAAGGCTTTCTCTGTCCCTCTCCCCAAAATTTCTAGCCCCAGCTCTCTCAGTCACTTTAGATCTATATCTATTCTACCTTACCTTTCGAAGATTCTCGAAGCTGCTGTCCATAAACAGCTTTCGTCTTATGTCTATCGCAACCAACTTCTTACTCCCTTCCAGTCTGGATTCCGCCCTGGGCACAGCACCTCTACGGCGCTTATTAAAATAGTCGAGGACATACGAGATGGCATGGAGGAGTCGCGGTTGACAGTGTTAGTTCTTCTCGATTTCTCTAATGCATTTAATGCAGTTGACCACGACATTCTTCTTACTCTGCTAGCGCAAATAGGGTGCTCTTCCAATTCGCTTAAGTGGTTCTGCTCTTACCTTTCAGGGCGTCAACAAGCTGTAAGAATCAATCAATCAACCTCAGACTGGATCGACTTACTCGCTGGTGTACCACAGGGAGGCGTGATCTCTCCTCTCTTTTTCTCTCTATTTATTAACTCCCTCACTTCCGTTCTTTCCACCTCTTATCATCTGTATGCAGATGACCTTCAACTGTATGCTCAGGACACCCTACCTAACCTGGGGAGGGCAATTAGTCTGCTTAATCAAAATCTTTCTCGGATACGTCAGTGGTCTGACAGCTTTGGAATTACCATCAACCCTGATAAATGTCAGGCGATCATTATAGGCAGTTCACGACAAATTTCACAGCTGCATTCGAACACAATCCCTGCTGTTATGTTCAATGGTGTAGTGATCCCGTATTCTACAAAAGTAAAAAACCTTGGGCTTGTTCTTGACCACACGCTTAGTTGGGACGGCCAAATTGAAAATATGTGCCGCAAGATAAACGGAACACTTGAACCGTGTACCAAAATCTCCCTTGTACAATCCCTTGTTCATCCCCTCTTTGATTATGCTGATGTTTGTTTTACTGATATAAATCAATTATTTCTTACTAAATTGGATCGTCTTCTCAACAATACCATTCGCTTCGTTTTTGGTTTACGTAAATACGACCACATCTCTGAATACCGTTATAAACTTAAATGGCTGCCTGTTCGAGAGCGTAGGTACTTAAGGACAGTGTGCACCCTTTTCAACATATTATACGATCCATGTACCCCTGGATATTTGAAATCTAGGTTTCAGTTCCTGGGGTCTTCTCATATATTAAATCTTCGGTCCATTAATAATCTGATACTCAATGTACCCATTCACCACACTAGGTTTGTCTCAAACTCTTTCACCGTTACTGCCGTTCGGCTCTGGAATGCACTTCCTTTGAACGTGCGTAACGCTCCAAGCAGGATTGTGTTTAAGACTTTGGCGCGGGAACACTACCTTAAGCAATTGCATAATGCTTAACCACAATCAGAATACTGTAATCCGACAAAGTATATGTGTTATATGTATATGTGTATATATATATATATATATTTATTTATGTATAGTGTTTGTGTGTATATTTATATAAGTATGGTTGTATGTATAGTTAAGTGTTAGTATATTTGCTCATTGTTTGATTTTAATATCTCTTCTTTGATTCTGCCGTTTTTTATAGCTCTGTATGTTCTTTCCGGTTGACTGGTAGAGAATGCCATATTGGCATTAAGTCCGCCATTTGCAGTGTAAAGGCAATAAAGATTAAATAAATAAAAAATAAATAAAATATAGATAACATGTTTGTTCTTTAAACTATATACAGGTGTAACATTTAGATCGGTCAGTATGAAACTATAAGACATACGAAGATCTCCTCTTAGGAACCATGTCACCGATTTTAGTAACAAGAAAAACTGCATTCACACATTTAAAAAAAAAACTTGTACTCCGCTCGGGAATTGAAACCAGACGTTTTGAAACATAAAACTAACACTAGTTCTATTTAGATGTCCATTGTGTAGGTCTGAAGCAGTAAATGTTACAATGAAACATGATAATTCATTATTATGTATTGATAGAAACAGTTGAGGAACACGGTTACATCAAGCTTATACTTACAAGATGACAAGGTGTCCATTGCAGAATAACATTTCGCTCAGATGAATCGGGCCTCACTCAGTAAGTATTCCTTGTACGTAATATTGATATGCCACAACCAAAACAGATACTTTCATACCCATATGCTGGAACATCCAGCGGGCCTCCAGAAGCTATTCTTTCTTGAATTAGTAGCAGATAGAGCTGTAGCAAACCATAGGTATTCGGTACTGAGTAACGGGTACGCCATCTAGTACCGAGTAACGAAACGTTACACACAAATGAATTTCGTTATTCGCATTTTTCGTAGTATGAGTATCTACATGTTTCAGTTTACGCAGGTACAGTTGATGTGTGTATAGAAACATTTGCTGATCGTATGTTTTACGCATCGTATGTTGGAGTTTTTGGGCGGGATTTCATCGAGTACGGTTGGCGTCTTATTTTAATTATTCTTAAATTCGTTCATAGTGGATATTGTGAAATAAAATTGGTGTGATTTTGTGTTACAACCGTCTGCGTAACTGAAGAATTAGTGGAATTGTTAAAATATACGCTATTTTCGTCAAGTGGACGTAAGAACTTTAATGTAGTGTTGACTACTTCACAGAAGCTTATCGAAAAAGCCAACTCGATACACTTCGTGCCAAACACTCCAAGAAACATTAGAATGCGTCACACCGACATTCTAAAGAAAAAAGAAAAAGAAGATTATTTTACTAAAGGCCAGGCTGTATGAGCCTTGTTTTCTTTGCCTTCCCTAAAACGGGAGAATCTTAAACAAAAAAAACGTACATTACAAAGAAAGAGCGATGTTTAGGTTTGTTTATTTTATTATTGTGAAGTTTAATTGGAAAATACAAATTTATTATAGATATTGTGTGTGTAGACAAAGTCAAAGTTTTAGATTAGAACAGAAAAAGGTAAGAAAGTATTTTTTACAAATTAAAAATGTGCTTTTGTTTTTTATTTTCACGTTTTTTTGTTCTTAACCTAAAAGAGATAATTTAATAAAGCCGCTCTAATGAGATTAAATTTATTCTTGGTTAACAAAAGCTGTTAATTATCAATTATTATTAGTTGTTTATATTCGATTTATTATTATTAATACTTATTATTTTTTTATTTTACAGTTCAATTCACTTCCTACAATGGACAAGAAAAGAAGTAAACTATGGGGTTTTTTTACGCAGACTAAAGACGATAAGGCAAAATGTGATCTTTGTCATTCGTTGTATTCAGTGAAAGGCGGCTCTACTACAAATTTGAAAAAGCATCTCATGAAAAAACACAGACCAACCTATGAAACCATCGTTCCAGGCTCCGTGTCAGTTGCAGCAGCTCTGGAAGCTCCAACTTCAGCAAGTACAGAATCTACTAATCCTGTAATTATAACAAATGAAACCAATTCGCAGCAGACTAAGTTGAGTGCATTTATTACACGTCAAGTAGGTGTAGTAAGAGAAAAAAAAAATAATGATTTAATTTTTAAAATGATAGTTAAAGATCTTCAGCCTTTTTCTGTAGTTGAAGACGCGGGTTTTAAAGATCTTATTACTTAGAGCCAGGTTATAAAATACCTTCAAGGTACATATTAAGCAATACTTTATTGGATGCTCAATACTCAGAAGCTCAAAAAAAATTAAAGAAGAATTGGAGAGCGCAAAATATGTATCGATCACCACCGATGGCTGGACTTCGAGAGCAACAACTTCTTACCAAGCTGTAACAGCCCATTATTTATTAAATTGGGAGTTGAAGTCTGCTTTATTAGGATGTTTTGAATGTCATGAGCGACACACGGCCGAATATATTAAAAATGAGCTGTACAGGTTGTTCTTGCATTGGAGAATACAAGATAAAAAATTTGTCTGCATTACAGATAACGCAGCAAACATGAAGGCGGCTATACGATTAACAAATTATGAACATTTGCCGTGTATATCTCACACTGTTAATTTAGTGGTGCGTGCAGGAGTCCAGGTCTGTGGACTCGAAGAGCTGATAAAAAAAATAAAAGCCATTGTGGAACATTTCCACAAGAGTCCAATGGCAACCAAAAAACTAATTGCAATGCAAGAGCAGCTGAGGCCTAATCAAAAACCATTGAAGTTAAAAATGGACGTAATGACTAGATGGAATAGTACCCTGGACATGATTGAGAGGATTTGGTTACTTCAAGAACCTTTAGAAGCGTCTCTTGGAATCCTACACAATCCGGTAGAAAATCTTTCGGAAAGCGAATGGCAGACACGGCCAGAAATAATAAAAAATCTGAAGCCATTTAAGCAACTCACAGAAGAAATGTCTTCAGAAAAAAAGTGACTGTTTCAATGGTCCTGGCTTCGACAGAAAGTATGATTAGAATTTTTCACAATTTAGATAGAAATATTATAACAGATACCGGAAAGAAACTGGCAAATAAAATAATAACGGAATTTAAAATTAGATTCAAGAATTGTTACAGGCACCCAGTGTTATCTAAAGCAGCACTGTTAGACCCGCGTTTTAAGAAGCTGGCATTTAGGTTTGATGCATCAAGTTATGAGTCTGCCAAAGATGCATTGAAAACTGAGCTGCTAAATGAATTTTACTTCCATATGCAGTCAATAGAACCTAACGAGAACGAATCGACGTTAGCTATAATATCTACTTTTTTTCGGCGGTAGGTGTGAAAAAGATAAGTTGTGTCTCGAAATTGAAAAATTTTATTTAATTATTTAAAGTCATTTAAAAACACAGATTTTATATTTACTTGAAGAATAAGGAAGTGAAACAACATAACTTACGTTTGCATCATCTTTTATGTAACATTTGCTTACATTTGACACCACCTGCCAGCACATCATACAATCAAGATTTAGCACATCCTTTAAATCACTATAAATCACACTGTCTCATCTCACTGATATTGTGTCTGCGCAAAAGAGCTTGGAGGAGTGTTTTATGAAGAAGATGCAGGATCTCGAAGGTCAGATTCAAAGTGCGGGTTCTGGTAAGGAGACAGTGGCAAAGGTAGCTGAGGAGTTCCGGACCTTCAGAGAGCTCATATTCAGCATGTTGGGGCTGCTCCGCAAGCAAATTTGTGAGTGCGTCATACAGATAGATGCCATTGAAACCAGACACCGTCGAAAGGGTTTGATCTTTTTGGGTGTTCCGGAGTCTGATGCTGAAGACTGTAAGGCCGTAGTGTGTGGCATTCTTGCAACGAAAGTGGGCCTCAAAGACGTCACTAAGGCCTCCTTGTCAGTTTGTCATAGGCTCGGAGCCACCGGTAATAATGAAAACGGTAAGCAGCGGCCTGTTCTGGTGAAATTTTCCCAATATGACTTAAAAGCTGCAGTCTGGAAGGCTAAGAAGAACTTGAAGGGCACTAACATCACAGTCAAGGAGTTCCTTACTAAATCCAGGCAAAATGTCTTTAACAATGCTCGGCTGCATTTCGGTGTTCGGTCTTGCTGGACTCAGAATGGCGTTATTCACATTAAATCATCTGATGGTATACGCCACAAAGTCATTCTTAAAGAAGACCTGGACTCCTTGGTTGGCAAATACCCAAAGGCGCCGACGGCTGGTATGCGATCGGGTACTACGAATGAAAATAAGTAACTCCATTACTCTTATTACAAATTTGCTTTTTCCCATGATTATACTTAAATTCTATTTGTTGCTTTTAAAACATGTCTTCACTTCTACTAACCTTGGCTTCAAATTGATATAATTCAATGTGTATGTATGTATCTTCTATTCTATTGTTTGATTTGCTTGTTATCTGCATAGATTGCATAGTGCTGGTATGTACGCAAAATCAGATTCTTTTGCTACACTGGCTTTTGCTCTTTGTTGTTTTGTTTTTTCATTTAAGGTAGGTAATTAGTTATTTCACTTGCAGATAGTCAAGAAAAGTTAAACTGTCAATGTCAATGTAAGACTATTTTTTTTTCTCTTTCTCTCACTATTTATAACAAGGCAAAAGTACATTAGTATATACAGCCTCATTCATATATATATTTTTCTATTGTCATTTAATTAAAAATCATGTTTGTGTCCAACTTTAGACACTATTCTAATGTATTAGTTATTTTACTTTAAAATTATTTTTGTGTTGATTTGCTTACTTAGCTACTTTTCTTATGTGCTTATTTCAGTTTTTCTTTTTAATGTTACTTAATAATGTAAGCTGGCGGGTGGTGTGGAGATATTGGTGCTTATCATTATTTAGCATTCATTCCTTCACATTTTGTATTTTTATATATATAATTTATAGTTATATTTATTTATATTTACGTATATTATGATATTTGACGACAACTTTTTTTCTGCTGATGACGAATCCGCAGATTCTTCTAATGACGAAAGCTTTTGTTCCGCTTCTGGCACGCTTCGTGACTTTTTAGGCCAAACTTTTGACCATTCTCCATATCTTTTAAACATTTGTCACATAAATGCCCAAAGTTTACCCAGCCATTACAACGAATTCCTTCATGTATTCTCTGGGCAAAATATACACGCTGTCCTTATTTCTGAATCTTGGTTAAAACCACATCTTCAATCTTCCGCATATTCTCTCCCTATTAAGTGATTCATTAACTCTTTTGAAGACATTTAATGCACTGTGTCAGTCTATCATTACTTATGCGATCTGCGTGTGGGGAGGCGCAAGCAAAACATACATGATTGAGGCCGAACGTGCGCATCGTACTGTCTTAAAGGTTATGCTATTTCTTCCATTTAGGTTTGCTACCACAGAAGTCTATGACAAGTCCGGGGTATTAAGTGTCAGAAAAATGTATGTTTACCAGTGCATAAAAAGATTTCACAAAAATCTTGCAACAACAGTACAGAGTGAGCACAATAAAAGAACAAAAATAGATAAATATAGAATTCCTAGGACAGTCAGCTCTTTTGCAAAGAGACAGTTTTGTTACCAGGCATACTTATTGTACAATAAACTAAATACAACGCTTCGGACTAAGAACTTTAGTAACAATCAAATTAAAAGTAAGATAATTGACTGGCTTAAGACATACGACTATAAAGGTGTAGAGAGTCTTGTTTATGGTACCTCGAGATAATAAACACACACGCACACACACACACACGCACACACACACACACACGCTGGATAAATATGAAACACTAACTATGTATTTTCCCAATAACTTTCTAATTCTATTTTTAAAATACTAAACATTGCCTTATACGCGTCTGAAATTACCAAGTAAATGTGTCATTTTTTGGAAGATACTGGCTCCCAATACACAGGTTAATCGTATATTTTTAGGAGCCAGGGTCCCTTATGATTTGTATTCTGGTATTTATCCAATAAAGATTTTTTTTTATTTTATTATTATTATATATTATTATAAATTTTTGTCTTATAAGGATGTTATATGTTATTTTACAGCTGCCAAAACTGTTTGTTTACTTTATATTTCCTAATTAATGAAAATTTTCAAAAGAATTTTATTATATCGGGATAGCCCGGATCAGATTCCTATCGTATTTCAAAAGCCAGATTTCAAAATAAAGAAAAACAGGTTGTTATTCAACTTTGAATGATTTTGGTAGTCGTCCCGCCGGTCCTGAAAGTTGAATAACTACAATAATATTTGAAATAAAATTCCGATTTTTTTTAATGTTGTTCATAAATAGATGGCAAATTTAATTTAGATTTTTAATTTATAAGTTACCGATCTGGTTTTTGCTATACATACACTTTTTTATAAATTTAATATGTAAAATTTTCAGGACCTTGTATCTCCTTTCCTATTGGGTCTAGGCTTACGCTGAAAACGCCTGCTTGTCGACTGCGACGTCCTCTCTTCGTCTGTGGTGGTTGAAGTGGCGCGACTGCGCTGGATCCAGGACCTCGTGGTCGGGTGGTTGAGGGACTTTCTTAGGAAAGTCCCTGGATTTTGGCCGGAAAAATCCGGGACTCTACAGGCACCTTCTTTTCGTTGATTATGGACCTCCCACAGTCCAAAAATAATAGGTCGTCGCGATAGGTTTCGAGATACACTGCTCCAAAGTCCGGAATAACCTCAATTTTAAGGTTTCCGGCACTTTATATTTTCGAACGCGGAGCTCAACAAAAACGTGACGCTTGGGTCTAGCGCTTCGGGGCCGGCATCAGTCTACTGTACTTTACTAGATTATTTAGTACAAAGGCTTCTTACTTGTGATTTTTCTTTTTCTTTATATTATAATTTTGGGCTTGTACTTTTATTCGGTCATTATCATCACAGTTAATAGCCTTACCAGATAAAATCTTATTTATTTCTTTGATCCAGTTAAACATACAGAATTGTGTATTTTTTTTCAATTATATAGTTTATTAAGTCGCTTCTATGTTCATTGCAAGATAAAAAATTAAAATTTACAATAACAGATCCTATTATTTTTTTATAATCCGCTACATATTCCTCATGGCTCATACATTTTATCACCTCCATCACTATCATTTCAATGTGGAACAAAGTGTCGAAAACATTTTTGCTTGGATAACATAGCCAAGTTTTATTATCGTATTCTGATTTTTTTATTAAATCATGAAATATTTGTTTCTCTGTACTCTCAAGCTGGTTTGTGCACACTGGACAATTTTTATATATATATTTTTTTGCATTTTTAACTAGCCAACCGCTGCAATATCCCACAGCTGCACACTTTTCCACATCACCAGGCAAACTGCTTTCTAACAATGCTTGTACATTTGGGAATACATTTAAATGTTCTTCATTTAGGACAAATTCTGATATTTTAGTGGGTTCTACAGAACTTTCAATGTCAAAAAAAAATTGAAAGATCTGTAGATAAAAGTTGTCATCCTTTTCGCAGTTTGTCCCAATTGAATGTGCAGAAGTAAAATTGTTTATCAAACGTGTCTTGTAGGCACCTTGAAATCCTGCAGCAGTTGGCATTGTATTACCATGTCCATGTGCACGTATTGCGCCGAAAAAAATTCTCGAGGGGATCTTGGTCTATATTCCTTAATAATAATGACTTCTCATTTAACTTAAACATATGAGCACAAAACTTTTGAAACCCCTCGATAGTTTTAATACTACTCGATAGGTTAAATTAAAACTAGCATTTACGGAATCAAATAGGTTGTCAAAAAATAATATTATATCAGCTATTTCTTTGGCTTCTTCTTCTAAATGTCCATTGTCTGAAAACAATAATAAATATAATCTTTTTAAAATGAAATAAACCATTACATTCCTTAAAAATCCATAATTATTAATAAGTAAATAACTTTATTAAAAAACAAGTTTTAATTTATTACAGATTAAGATTAGTTATGAAATGAATCTATACATATAATAAAATGATAGGAAAGTCAAAACTGTACATTGAATATTTTTTTTAAAGAATACTTGGGGTGTGATTTACAATCAATACCGAAGCCAAAAATATAGTTTTTAGATATTTTGTCTGTTTGTCTGTATGTATGTTCGAGATAAACTCAAAAAGTACTGCATGGATTTACTTCAAATTTGGCACAAATATTATTAAGAAGTCGGGTCAACATATAGGCTACATATTATCACGCTATCACCTACGGGGAACGAGCAGTGATCCTTTATTTCTTCAATAGTCTACATCGAAGCGAAGCGAGGCCGGGCCACTAGTATAGCAATAAATGCACATTACAAAAAAGTCACTAACCTGCCATGAGTCAAGAGCTCCCCCAACAGTTCGGCTGAAAACTTGAGTGCAGAGTTTTACTATTAATTTTGGTACCACATGTTGTTGAGTTAATTTAGGTACCAAGCGCACTCACTTATACCCTGGACTTCTTTCATATAAATTAATTATATGTTGCCATTTTGCGACACATTTTTTGTTATTTAAAACATACGTCAAATCTTTGGTTAATAGATTGTTACGTATCCCTTTCATTAAGTGAGGTGGGTCATAAATAGGGTATATTTTATTATTTCCACCAAGGGTATTCCTCATTTCTCCTTGAGTATATCTTTTGTGTCTTTGATTAAAGAATTAATTGCTGCCATATTAGTGGCTCCCTGGTCACATACTGTGGCAACCACCTTCAGTCCGCAGGACTGTACTTTATTAAATATAGTTTTTAACATATTTTTCAATTCTACTGCTTTTGTGCTGCCAGTACAAAAGGTATATTGAAGTGGTTGCTTGTATTTTTTTATGACCCCCCTCACCATAAATACAAGTACATGGTCTGCCAGCTGCGGTTTTCTGCTTATCCCATCATCAACAAAACCAAGAATTTTGTCATCAATTAGGTCTAAATGTGCATTAATAGCCATCTCATCAAACATAATCAAACAATATTTATGACTAGCAGGCATTTTACGAACTCTCTTCTTCAGATTTTCAAAGATAATATCATTGATGCCTGGTTTAAGGCATATTTTCTTTAGTAAATTCTGTAACGTACTGCGCTTTGGCAATATGCATATCTCACTTAACACTTTATATGCTCTTGGGCTACTTTTGTAGAGAGATAATGGTAATATTTTCTGTTCTAAAGTGAACCTTCGTCCCCCTTTGCTTTTTTTGGCTTGTGTAAATTGCATTTTCACAAATGTTTCTGGTAATGGGGATAACTTATTTTTTAATATATCCAAATTTTTTACATTCTGTTTTCCCAACAGCAACCTTTTCTTGAATGACTGCCGTAGTTTGTTCGTTCTATGAATTTTAGATCGTAATTTCTTGATAGTGAGACTCATTGAAATCTCTGCATCAGTCATTTTCACCTCTGAAAACATTGAATATAGGTAAGATATAATAAAATATAGAATTTAACAGTACCTACTATAATCAATAATTAATAGTAAGTTTTTTTAAAGTTTAATTGTAATATTAGATATGCATTTAAATCAAGAAAAATAATAATACCAAATTTAATAAAATATTACAAATTTAAAATAAAAAAGTAATTACTTCGTGTTTGAGTCCCAACTGAATCATTTCTAATGTTCTGACTTGACTCTGGAACATTCAAGCACATAGAGGTGGATGGTGTGGCTGGTTCTGCCAATGATGGTGCATTATCTAAAATAAAAATTAAATTTTATGACAATATATGTAAGAGAACATGGTTTTCTTTATGGACAATTTCGAAATTGAGGAAAA